CCCCAAAACCCCAAAACCCCAAAACCCCATGACGACAATTTATTGCCTAATTTTAGTTACTGTTACAAAAAATAAACTTGACTTAATTGAAATTAAAATTTAATTCATAGATCTTGTATAATCAAATTTTAATTGGGACTGGGAGTAAGTCCCCGTTTTTTGGGCTATCTTCCCAATTCCAGCCATCTCCTTGTAGCGCTGGAGTCTCTTCTAATATTCAAATCCATTAATAAACTTTAGTAGGAAATCTTGAGATAAGATCTCAAAATAGGTAATATAATATTGCAGACTTTTTCAAACTCTTCAAAACTTTGCTTTGTTTAAATTGCTCTGACTATTAATAAAATATTAAAAACAATCACTTTAGAAATGCAAATAAATAGGGTGAGAATAATCTAGAGAAGGGGCAATAATACCTTGGTTTTTTGTTTTAGACTCATCTAATAAGTAATGTGATAACTAGACAATGTAAAAGTCTTTAAGTAATTTTTTCATCACGAATTGTAATCTAATGAGTATACCCTTTTCTCTCTCAACTTTTATAATAAGCTGAGGTTACTTTAAGTCTTCAACAATTACATGGGATCTCCAAAGCTTATACTTAATCACATTTTAGATCTATGTATTAGTCAATTATTTGCAATAATTATGATATAATATTACCTTAAGGAAAGTTTTCTTTGGAGAGCTTCCTGAAAATATATGGTAATGTATGAATGAATTGATTTATTAGTGAATTTATACATTTTCATCTAATCGCTTTCTCTTATCTTTTGATTTAGGCCGATCAAAATTCTTTTTCTGATTCTCCTTAAACATGTCAGTCATTGATTTGCCAGCACAAAAGCTGATTAACTCAAAAGCATTCATCTTTCATTTCAATTTGTCCTTGTCTGATAGGAGTATTGATCTTGGAGATGGTGTTCCTTTTTGTTAGGAAGCATTCTAATATAAGTTTCTTGATGAATACTAAGTAGCTTAGACTATCCCTTTCTTCAAGGAATGTTTATGCAGGAAACTTTTTTAAGGAACGAGAAGGCTGTTCGGTACAACCTCTTAAACTTTAGAATCTTCTCCACCTTACTTGACAAGCCTTAGTTCCAAAGAATTTATTTAATTACTTTCATTAAATTCATCTTCTGAAGAGGATTCATTCGCTTCCATTATCCATTTTGATCTCATGATAGATTAGAGGCTTGGTCTCTTCCTTGGATTTGGGTTCAGAATGGCTTGAATGAGGGTTTTGGCATGCTTAGTAACTTTTTTTGCTGGTTTTCCATGAACTGTTGCAGGGAAGATGAAATCTCCGATTATAATTTTCTCTAGTTACTTTTTCATGTCCTTGCTGTCAAATGGTAGCTCTATAATTAAATTTATTATGGCAGATGCAAAGTACTTCCGACAAGCATGTAATACAAAATGACTCCTAAGCTCCAAATATCAGTGAATTTAGCATCGTAAGGCTCATTCTTCAGTATTTCTGGAGAAATATATGACAAGGTTCCACAAGTGGTATTACTTAAGTTAGGGTAGGTTGTCTTTGGGTTAAAGGAAGATAGTCCAAAATCTAAAATATATTTATTATAATAATTTTTTTAAGTTACCGGAGATTTTTAGTTGATTATTATCATCAACAAGAATATTTTCAGGTTTGAGATCTCGATGGAACACACTCATCTTGTGGCAATATTCTACTGCGCTTAAAATTTACTTAAAATACTCCCTGGTTTACTGCTCTGATAAGCCAGTTGTCTATTCCTTAATTTTGTCGAATAAGTCACCACCGTTTATTAACTCTAAGACAATAAAAATTTTAGTGTTATTTCCCAAGACTTCAACTAACTTGACAACATTTGGATGGTCTATCATCTATAAAATCATAACGTTTCAAGTTAATGTGGTTTAAGATAAAGATCAAAGTTATTCAAAAGATATCTCTTTCTTAATTGATTCTCCCAAGTCTTGTAACATGATCTTTTCCTTGTCAAGGATCTTGATAGCTACTTTAGCTTAAGTCTCAGTGTCCATTCCCTCTCGGACTCTATATTTATTACATTAATAATCCAATTTAATACAGCCCGAAAGCTCCCTCTCCTAATATTCTGCCTAATTAATAGCGTTCTATTCTCTTTATCATTAATTATTCGATTTTAATGTTAAATTAAAATTTCACTAATGTCTCTGTCTAATACTATTATGGGGTTTTGGGGTTTTGGGGTTTTGGGGGTTTTGGGGTTTTGT